GGGGAAGATCCTGTGAGGGGGGACTCAAGGGAGTGTGGTGGGGGATCCACACGGTTGCTCCGGCAAGCTCGCACCTGAATACCGTCGGATTCAAGGCTTGTCTCGAGGTAAGTTCACCAAAGAAGAAGTCTCTTTGGTGTCAAAGGACCCGGCGACTCCGCCGCACCGGGGAAGGTGGAAGTGATTTTGTAAGGGCTTCTCCGCCTAGCCGTGGGGGCTAAAGGAGAGACACTAGTTTAGTGCAATACTTGGGGGGTGCCTCCAAGGAGTGGACGTAGGTCAATGTTTGACCGAACCACTATAAATCCGATGTGTTCTTTCTTTTTACTGTTTCCGCGTTTTAATTTCCGCACTTTGATTGTGGTGATTTGGATTATGTTTTGGTTTTAAAGTTTTCCAATTCAACTCTCTCTTTAATTAGCTTGGGACTAAGTTCAAGAGGGCCTAACATCCCTAACGAACTTTCATAATTGTGACCTGAAAAATAATAGCAAGAAAGTTGTAAAGAATGAATCATAAATCTTGATGACTGATGAGAAAACTTAAATTAGATTTTTCATTATGCAAAATAAAGAAAATAACTCATATAATACAGATATATATTCTATAATATTTTAAGTTTGTAAAATATAATATTGCACCAAATATAACTACAATCTATATTTTTAATAATGCAAAGATTGTTTGTTTGGATGGAAAAATTAGATAGATTTTTTTATTTATTATCACAAAATACTTTTTAAAGAAATTACTTCTGAAAAAAATAGAAAATAAATTATGTATCATAAAATAAAATTTTACAAAATAATATTTAAAAATTAAAAACATACGAAATAAAATCTTGGAGAAGCAGCAAGTTCTTATCCATTTGGTGAGATAATGATTCCACTTTGAGTGCCAAGTAAAAAGGCACCGCCACCCGCTGCATTGTGGTTCAGATTCTAATCCACAGCCTATGTAGAGATCTACACAGGACCTTTAAAGCAAAAAAAAAAAAATTCTTTCAAGATAACGATCATAATTTTATTTGTTGAGATTTTTCTAAGTATTTTTCCAAAATGAAAATTGAGAGAAAATTATATTTTTCCCTTTCAAAAGAGAAAAATCTAATTTCATTATAACAATTCTATAATAACTTTTTTTACAAATAAATACAACTGCCCCAAATAAAAATAAAAATTGCATTTTTTTTTTTTCAAAATTTATGTTTACAAAGTTATTTTTGAGAAAAATCCCACAGACAGATCTACTTAATCTAATTGATTCTTGACCTAACAAATGAAACGGTGAAGTTAATAAATACTCAGAATCCAAATCTAAATTCTACCGCTTCCCTTAAGCTGGATGTCACAATCCCAAACAGTGGACCTGATTCCTGTGTGAACTCACTTATTATATCCACGATTCTCTTCCCCACATCCACTTAATTATTCATATAATCTGAGCCATTCCATGTGGCTGAGGAGAATGACAGACCAGTTGAAAGAAAAGATGCAACGAATCCTATATCTTACTCCATGTCCACATTTCCTTCATAATATTCAAAGACCCCATAGCTGTTGAGCTTTGATTCTTCCAAGAATTAGTCACGTGTGCCACCTCAGATGGCCCACGTGACAACCATCTTCTACGCCAGACCCACATGAGATCAATGATTTTATAGCCAAAGAGCATGTAGACCAATTAATTTAAGCAGAAAAGTAGTTGGTAGGAACCACCCTCTTGTAGGAGAGATTATTCTTTGCAGATACCGGACACAACTTACCGTCCAGAGGCCAATCAAGTGCAGCCACATCATCTAGTACCGAGTAGAGGTGATGTGACGCATTTTTATTGGGCTACGGTGTTCGGCGTCTGCACAGAATAATCTCATCCTCTTGTAGGCTCCACACCAAGCTTGACTTTCAGTTGTTCATATTGAACTTCGGATGAGGAAGGAAGAGATCTATCATTTCAATGAGTAAATAAGAAAGCCAACTAAACATACTAAGCTATGTGAACAAACAAACTGGGGACCTTTCCTTGTCAAAAAGATTGGATTCATGTGAACAAAATCCTTTTGCTTGATAATCTGTGCATCTCCCACCTTTGAAATAGATTGAAACAGATTGATAGTGAAAGTGGCTAAAGAGTTTCCCATATGTTTGGTTGCTTTTGTTGAAGTATCAAACATGGCAAGTTGGTCATATTTAGCTCTTGTTGCGTGGCGTGCAATTTGAACACAACTACAAGTATTGGAATGAAATATTGACAGGACTGAATTTTCAATTGGCAAAGACCTATGGTGAACTCAGAGAGATAAAAATGAAGGCTAAATTTGAATAAATTAAGGCTTCGTTTGTGACAACTTTTTTATTGCTTCTTAAAACGGCTTCTTAGTATAAAAAATAAAAATTTTGTACTAAGAAGCTGCTTTAAGAAGCAGAAGGAAAGCCGTCTCAAACAAAGCCTAAGTATACCAAATACGGAGGTTCATGAAGATTGTACAGTGGGGTAAAGTGAAAGGTGGACTATTTTTTGCTACAGATATCACAACTAGCACGAACAGGATTCAAAGGCATTCTGCTTAATATTGCTGAAAGTATTTACATCTATATTTACAGCATTTCAGTATCCCAGATTCAGTATTAAAGATAAACCAGAAGAAGTTCCTGTACAATACTTCGAGCCACATAAGATGCTTTCCCTGCCTTTGGAAGCGGCTGTGTAAGTGATGCAATTGACAGAATAATGAGAATTTATGTACACAGGCGAGTGGGAGGATACTTTAAGAGTAGGATTTGGCAAGACCGAAATTGCAAAAAGATCTAGATTTAAACAGACCACCAAAGAGGAACCTGGTGGGAGACTCTTGGGGAGGAGATCTGGAAACCTCTTTCACTTGAAGCACGGTCTGACCAATTGCTTGCCTTATAGAATCTAATATTCTTGCATCCACTTGGTTTCCTGTGGCATCACGAACATAAAATGTGTTGACTGCTTTCCCATCTTTGGTTGAAACTTCAGCTCTTGTTACTGTAAGTCCGTTCTCGCGGAAGATGCGCGTCACATCCGAAAGCAATCCCACTCTGTCATTTGTGCACAGCTCAAGCTTCAAACCCTGAGGGGCATTTCATAAGAAACAGACCAGTTACCTGCTTAGTTTTAATACAAAAATAGAGGATATATAACTAAATATCCCAAATCAACTATCTTTTGTTCATATGAGAGAGTAAGTTTATGGGATCTACAAGGCAGAATATCAACTACTAATTGAACACATATAGATCATACAGATAGGTTCTTTATAAACTCTTAGGCTTCGTTTGGGACGGCTTTCTTACTGTTTCATAAAGTAACTTTTTAGTATAAATTTTTTAATTTTTTAATTAGGAAGCTGCTTTAAGAAGCAGTAAGAAAGCCACTCCAAACGAAGCTTTAAGCATGCATACACTTTTAGGCTTCAAATAAATAGATGATAATGCAAATGGCAAGTTACGATAATCCATTTACATAAATGAAAAACGGTGCATCGTATTAAATAAACAATTTATTGTATGTACACTTAAAAATAGCAAGTCAAGATGACTGGTAATCAACCATATGAAGATAAAAGAAAGATATACTACCTCAGATACCCTCCTCTCTATGGCTGCTTCAAGACATTGAATAATCCTCTCTCTCTCAGCTTCAGAGTTGATGGGAAACCCATCTATGTGCCGGATATAGTATTCCTATATAATGAGAACGGATAATATCTCACAATAAGATAGTGAAAATACAGTAAACAAGTAGACAAACGAAGGCTTGCAAATTGCAGGATACCTGATAAGCTTCTGGGCCCTCGCCATCAGCATTTGCATGGAATACCACATATTGCATATCCGTCAAAGTGCAAATTGTGTCAAAAAGAAGCTTTGGTCTGTCCTTGCACTGAATTGTGACCACTGAATACTCCTTATCATAACAATTCACAACAGAGACTTTTGGCCTCATAGTCTCATCAACCAATTCCTGGCCAGTCCTCTGATAGTCCCTATCTGCAAACATCATCTGGTGGAGCCTTCTCTCTGTATGTGTGACCCCCATTGAAATAGCGGTTTTCGCTCCTCTGGTCTTGTTATTTCCTCTAAGAACATTGCACAAGAGCTCTTTGATTTTCGAAAGCTTTTCTAGGTCAGTAATGGCTGCACCTGTGACTTCATCTGTCACTTGCATCACAGCTGCTGCTCTGTTATTATGCGTCCATATTTCAGCAGTAACAACATTGCACTTCAGGTCTGTAAGAACAGCACTCACTTCAGAAATCAAACCAGGCCGGTCAGTCCCAGTTAGCTCAATTGAAGTGTAGTCAGAGGATGGTGCAAAGTCCACTGATCTTCTCCTAGAAGGAAGAAAGGAAGAATCTGCCCACAAGGACTGCAAATAGACAGAATCATATATTTAGTTGAAATATTGGCATAAATCAAAAGCAGTAGTACAAGTAGCATCAAAATGGCAGGGATATTCTACCTTCCGAATGTAATCCACTAGCAGTTTGATAGTAGTTTCATCCCTAATTTTCTTTCCCTCGTGATCGGTAACGTTGAAAACTGGAACCAAATATTCAATTTATAATGATTAAATGATCCAAAAGGTTCCAAAACATTAAAAAAGTATTCAAGTGGGATATGATCTTTACCGTCCATGATCCAGCCGCCATCAGATGATATATAAGCTTTAATGATGATTAGATTCAGATCTGTAAGAACCTGAACAACTTCCAAAAGGATCCCATACTTGTTCGCACTGTCAACCTACCAGCGAAAAAAAAAATTCAGAACATAGAAACACACTCGGGTTTTCAGGTGCGTGCTCATGCAAAAGTCAGCAGAAATGGCCATTGAAATACCCGAACAACTGTTGCTCTGGCACAGGATTCGTTATCAATATCAACCCTAAACAGGGAAAGCGACAAAAAAGTTAACAGATGAACAAAGTTAGATTCATAGATGATAGTAATAGAATGCCGATGCAATACCTCGGCGGGTTCATCCTCTTAATAAACTTTTCGTATTCATCATCACTATCCCATGAATCATATGAAGGATGCATCAAATCCACCTCTGCAAAAAGAACTAATTCCATTCAGAAATGATTAACTACAGAATCCAGACGTCAAAAAGGGCGCACCGCAAATCAATAGGTCACAGACGATTCGATCACAAAGAAATAAAGAACTAGAAGGAAAAGAAATGCAAAAGAACCCTAGCAACTCATGTTACCCATAACCTATCAAATCAAAAAGAAATTTACAGCATTCAAACCGAAAAACCATCAAAAGGAGACACGATAGCACTTCAAAACTTAACAAAGGATAAGACCCGCACCCATCATCGTCCACTAATCAGCCGCCTTCAACGAAGAAAGTGAGAACTTCTATTTTCCAATGAGAGCAGAAGCCCCAAACTCCAGTTCACCTCTTTTCCTCTCCCGCTACGAAGGAAACCGATTTCGAAGTCGAAACAGGACGACACGAAACTCCAAAAAACCTGCGATTTCCCCAGTACGGAAGAACAGATTCTGCCTCTCTCTCTTTCTCTCTCTCTTCGTCCGCAACCGCTTCTGTTCCGCTCTGTCGCTTGTCTCCGGCGAATGGGCGAATTACAACAGAACAATGGCTCTCGACCGCTCTTACTACAAAGGATTCTCTCTCTCTCTCTCTCTCTCTCTCTTCTGAGGTCGGCGAGGCGGTTTATAGTGACTCGTCAAGCACTTGCGCCTATTCTTTTAATGCGACGTATTAAGTACTATTAATGGTAATGCTGTGTAACGACTTTTCAATTTGAGGTTTGGTAATTGATTACTTAATAAGTTGAATAATAAAAAAATCTTTTGTGCATATTAAATATTAAAGTTGGAAAATAATAATAAAAGTAGTATTCTCTCAATTTTCCAAAATAATAATATAATTAAATTATTTTTAATACACCACTACGGGTACCTCAAGCCGACTAGTTAATGAACTCACGAGTCACGTTTTTCAAATCATGAGTTTAAGCTAGAGACTATATTCTACCTTCTATATTAAATGAGTTAGAGCTTGAGCTTAGTCTGGCTTGATTTATAAGCTTGTTGAGTCGCTCAATTAAATTAAAATATATTTAAAATTAATTTAAACTAATATTAAATTATAATTTTAATCTTTTTAAAATTAATTCTATATTAAAAATAAATATTAAAAAAATGAAAAAAAATTTAAAATTAAAAAATTGAGCTAAACAATGGAGCTCTATTTTTTTTTTTTTTAACAATTAGAATTCAAGTTGGATTGATGAAGTGGAGGAATGCATCGGACTTGTTGTGTGATATAAAAGTACTACTCAAACTTAAGAGAAATTTCTATAAGATGGTTGTTAGACCTGTAATGCTTTATAGCGCAGAATGTTGGTCATTAAAAGAGAAGCATAATATTAAGTTAAATGTTGCAGAGATGAGGATGCTCAGGTGGATGAGTGATTTTACTCTTAGAAATAGGATACGAAATGAGAATATACGTGAAAAGGTTGGAGTACGTAGCTCCAGTGGCAGATAAGATTAGAGAGAGTTGCCTTAGATGGTTTGGTAACTTAAAACAGTAGCCTTCTAATAACTCGATTAGGAGAGTAGATGTATTAGATTTAATTAACCTATGTTAAGAAAGATAAAGGTAGACCTACAAAGACTTGGTTAGAAGAAGATATTAGAAATTACATTTCTATTAGATCTAAATGAGAATTTGCCTCTTAATCGAACACAATGGAGAAAAAGAATTCGTGTAGCCGACCCCACGTAGTGTGATAAGGCTTGATGATGTTGTTGTTGTTACTGCTGCCAAGCTCTAGCTTAGTAAATGAGCTCGAGTCGAGCTCAATTGCAATAAGGACTAAACAAGCTTAGCTCGATTAGGCAGATACTCGACTCGACTCAACTCAACTCGTTTGCACCCCTATAATTAAATATTGAAAAGGTGTTTGTGGGTAAAGGTTTCATATATCTTTAATTTTGCCCTTTGGTATTATGATAATTATAAAAAGAAGGAAGAGAAACTTAAAAGAGAGGATTAACAAATTAAGTACATGTCAACCACAAAAGTAAAAGTTTCCTCTAAAATAAAAGGATTGTCTTAGACAAAGGGATGATTGCATTGATAGGCTCCATCCAAGTTGGATAAAGATAATATAAGCAACATTAATCTTGAAAGGCTCCGAGAAAATCAAATTCATTGTCTTGTTAAGGTTTTATTTGAGACAGTTTTTTACTTCTTTCTAAAACAATTTCTTAATATAAAAATAAAATTAAAAATTTTTGTATAAAGAATTGTTTCAAAAAGTATTAAGAAAGCCGTTCCATATGAAACCTATGCATCAAACCAAAAGAAGGTTTTCAACATCACCCTCAAAAGACAAGAAAAGCTTTAGTTCTTCACATCCATCATATAAAACTAGTAGAAGTATAGTTACCCAAAGCATGTAGGTTTTTTTTTTTTGTGGGAACGGGGGTATCTACTCGCTGTCACCCACCTTAGGAGGCGCTTGGCGGCATAACTAGTCCCTCAGCGAGCCTAGCTACCAGTAATCATCCTCACAGGTGCAGGAGCTACAGTTATTTTCTCCCCACTTAAAGGGTTGTGTCGTTTGATAGGGGAATTGAACATGAGTTGGAGGTTCCCAATCAGACTTTTCCACCAACCTAGTTAAACCCGGTGGGATAAGCATGTAGGCTTTGAAAAGCTTCCAGCAAAAAGAGTGAAAAAAGTATAGCATCCAGCAGAAACAACCAAACATAGGAGAAGAAATAATAAAGAAGACATCCAAAATAGTAAAAGAGAACCCCTAAAGACATTTAAAATACTAAAATAAATTACTGTTAGCGCTATCGATTTTTTATTTTTATTTTTTGCCTTTCTTACTGATAACTGTTTCCTTAAATTATTTAGAGAAGGTAACACCTCCAAAAATGATTCAGTTTCCCTCATTCCACGGTTGGATTATTTCTATTGTGGCCCATATAAAAAGATTAAATTACACATCAATGTTTTAAAACATTTATCAATCTTCAATTAATATTTTAAATAATTGTTTTATCGTCAAAAAAGTATCTTAATCGGGCATGAATCTCGGGGCAAAATTAAGTTGGAAACTTCCGAAATTAAATTGGGGACCATCCGAACTCCGATTTTAGCAAAATTACAGTCGAATTGAACGTCTCAAAATTGCAAATCCAGCGACACCAAATTCGGCTTAATCCGAGCTCAAATCGAAGACCCGAAGTGCATTTGAAGAGTTCAAACCATAAATTGAATGACCAAACGACTTCCAAACGTGACATGGATATATTCAAATCAAGCGGCTCGACGAGATAAATTCAATGAACTCAATATCACCAAATTGTGATATCATTAAGAAATTAAAATGCCCAATAAATGGTCCACGAATCAAGGGGATCAACATCGGTTGTCTATTCAAACCACTATCAACTTATCCTTGATCTTTCTCTTATTTAATGGTCATGTCACTCTCATAAAATTATAAATAGATCTCACATTTCTCATGGAAGGGGACCCCAAGCAAGGAAGAGAGCTCTCTTGCTATCAAACTCCTCCTCGATCACCGTTGGACTTTCACCTGTACATCGATTGTTTTCAGACTTTCGCCCGGCCACTAACGGATGCTGGACTTTCGCGTGGCCATCGACTGATGCCGAACTTCCTCCCGATCATCAATTGAAGTCAAATTTCTGCCCGATCACCAAATTTTGTTGGATTTCATATCTCTGTTCGTAATTGGATTTCAACCCGATGGTTGATTATTGTAGTTAGATCGTCCTCATTTTAAGGAGATGAGTAAGTCACTTGTAATTTACTCAAAGCAGCTTTGGAAGATTCAAACCATAAATTAGATGACCAAATAATTTCCAAATGAGATATGCTTATAGTCGAATCGAATGGCTCGACGAGAATAATCAAACAAACCCAAGATCTACAAATTCTGATATCATTAAGACATTCAAATTCCTAGTAAATGATCAACAATTAATCAAGGGGATTAATATATGTGGTCCATTCAAGCTACTCTCAACATACCCTTGATCTCCCTCATATTTACTGGTCATGCCACTCTCAGAAAATTATAAATAGACATCTCATTTCTCAGGGAAGGGGGACCGAACCTAGGAATAGAAAGAAGAGAAGGAAAAGAAAGAAACTAGAGTTTTCTTACCGTCAGTCTCCTCCTCGACCACCGTCAGACCACCGACCGTTGCCAGACTATTGGTGGGCTTCTACCTAGGTATCGACCGATGCTGTGTGAAACCCTAAACATCGAGACACCTTTTAGTGTAATGATTGAAATTTCATTAAGAAACTTTGTACTTAAATGTGCTCATCCCGGAGTAAATATGGGGTAAGTGATCTACTAAAAAGTTACACCAATATAAAAAAAAACTGTGAGGCTCTTAGGCCAAAACATATAATATCTCGATAGTTAAGAGTTTGAACCTGTTACACGCCAAACTTCTACCCTGCCATCAACTGATGGCGAACTTTTACTCGGCCACTGATTGATGTCGGACTTCCACCTGACCACCGACTATGGCCTTTTTGACCTCCGTCGCCATATAATAATCTTTATGACCATTGTCATTCGTCGACTAAGGTCTTTTAGACCTTCCTTCACCAGACTACGGTCCTTCCGACCTTCGTTACTAGATAGCAGTCTTTCCAACCTCCGTCGCCTGCAGAGTGCAATCCTTCTGACTTCCATCACCAGACAACAATTCTCCCAACCTTTGTTGCTAGACTACAATCTTTCCAACCTCCGTCGTACGTCGATTACGGTCCTTTCGACCTCCGCCGCTAGCCGACTATGAACCTCCCAACCACCATCACCCGATTACAGTCTTTTCGGCCTCAGTCACCTGTCGATTATGTTTATGCCGCTAAACGAACATATCAATACTGAATCTTCCAATTCATCATGTATTGCACTTTATATGATGTATATTTTCTACATCAAACTAAAGCCTTCCCTTACGGAAGGGCCTCATTTGTAATTGACTGCAAATATTAGTGGATTCATTTAAACTTTGGGCAGGCCCCGTAGTTTTTCCCCCTTTTTTGGGGTTTTCACATAAAAACTATGGTGTCTCTTATGAACGTTACACCCTTTGTTTTATCTGATTATGTACTAGATCTTTGTACAAAGCAAAGACGTTAAACTTTATATTTCTATTCTATCGTGAATATTCTAGGATGCAATAAGGCTAAATACTCCAAACGATTATATCTTGTACTTTTCTAGCCTCCCTTAGATTTTACTCTAAGAGGGAACTAGAGTTGTACTCTAATAAATATTAAATTTTATATAAGTAATTAAACTCCCCTACAAATATAACATCACAATTATTTATTGAAAAATACAAAAAGGTTGACACTATGCCATTTGAAAGAGTGGCGTCGCACTGCCCTTGAAGTGAATTAACATCTCGGCAATGAAACTTTTGTACCACTATGGCGCTTGCTAACATGGATCGATTTCTTAGTGAACGGTCATGTCTTTTCACTGATAGAATGTGTCCCTTTGAAGTTAAAACGCCACGACACTATTGGCATTCAAGTGTTGTGGTGCCCAAGTGCAAAAAATGGCACCAAGGCATGAGAAATTGTTGCACCATGGCATTTGAAAATAGAGAATCCAGCATTGCTAAGCTGACTTCTTGACCCCGTGGTGCAGGTAATGCTGCAGTGTTGGCTTTATCGATGCTTTAGTACTGGAAAATAAAGAACTTGGAGTTGTGATGTCTATTTCTGACACTTTGGCGGTATTGAAGGTTGCGCTGCGGTGTTGTTTCATCTGTTTCCATTGCACTATAAGCTCCTTAGAATTTTTTAGTTTTTCTAAACAAACACAACTATTATAATATATTTTCATTGAAAATATTATATGTAAATACTTCATAATTTATACTTATCGCCATCATACAATGATAACCTAAAGATGATGGCAGTGGTTGGTATTAGACATTGATGTTGAACATCAAGCTAGTAAGTCTTTAGAGGAATTTAGAACTCCAAACTCTCTCCAAATTCAGGTCCCAGTCTCCTTCATGGGTAGTACTTTAGTAAATTTAGTCAAAATTTAATAACAATCAATCATATGACTCATATCAAGTCTTTAAATCATAAATAATTTATTCAACATTTAAATACTTTAATAACATTATAATCAAGTGAACCTGAGATTTTTGGATTTGAATCATCGAGTCACTCATTTTGATTATAAGCATGCAAGCTAGATTTGAATACCATTTGGTCCTTCAACTAACGTCTAAAGTCTCTAATTATCTTTCAAGTACTTGATTTGAGCTTATTTGGGCTCGTATCAAATCCCTTTGGTTCTATTAGACTTGTTTGATCGATACGCTCAATTTGATTAAAGTTTGATAAAATTAATCTTCGAATGATTGTAAATTTAATTTTGAATCTTTTAAATATTACATCAAGATTCATACTACATATCAAGTGAATTTTCTTAAGGCATATCTGGTATAAAATAAAACATGACAATCAAAATAAAGATACCAATGCTATTATTTTGAGCTAAGTAAAAGTACCAATGTTGATTAATTTTAGGGATTTTTACATACCTAACATTTAAAACAAGTCTATTTACCTATTAAACACCTAAACTTTTCTATTTACCTATATACCACCTGAAAACAATTATCTCATCAAAAATAACACTCCGTCGCTTCTCCGTCAACTCCAAATCGCTAAAGCTCTAAAGGCGCGGGAATCGCACAGTTCGCCATTTCCATCCCGATCGTCTTCTCCAGCAAATGGCGACACAGACATTCCTTCTCCCTCTATCGGTTTGAATCGCACAGCTTGCCCATCTCGATCATCTTTTACAGCAAACGTAGTAGCTGGCGTCTTCTCTGGCCAGTTCCGATACATAATCGTTGTTTCTCATTTTATTCTCTGACACAGAATCGCGGTTAAAGCACAGTTTGCCATTTCCTCATACTTGCATCTCTTCTTATATTTTATTCTTCGACTTTGCTCTCATTTTTTATTCTCAGACTTATACAGAATTGCGTAACCACAAGCCATATTTACAGATAAAATCTGATCCTGCTCTCAGTTTTTAAGAAGAAATCGGAAGGCTGCAGCTACATTTAAGAACTGCAACTATAAGGTTTTATTGTTGTGCCCTATATCTTTTACAAAATGCAATTCTTACATGATGGTGATAAATTTGAGGACGGAGAGGTTACTAATTAGTAGAGAGAATTTAATTTTGTTTCTGTAATATAATTTTGAATTAACATGTTTTGTTGACAGATGGATTGCAACAATGTGAGCGCTATTGTGTTGAAATATGGAGGATATTGGAGTGAGGTGAAAAGTGAGTGTAGGATGAAATATGTCGGAGGAAGTCAAAAAACTATAAAGGTTGATAGAGGTCACATTAATTTACTATTCTTGAAAGAACGTACCGAAGCAATTTGCCAGTGCATCTCTAACTTTACAAACACAAAATAGTTAAAGAAGCTTGAGACGTTTACCCTAAACAACTAATGGAGAAGATCACCATCAACATTAAAAAAGTAAATGATTATAAATCTATTAAAAAAATCTGGACTGAAGAAGAATGGACTTGTTTTGGTACAGGGCATAGGCGGAAAAATAGACTTAACACTGGAGAAGATGAGTGAAGTAGGGATAAGGTCAAAGGGGTGGCGGTCGGAAGCGTCGATGGCGTTGGGGTCAGCACCGGCAATGAGGAGGAGGGTGGCGGTGACAGCGTTGGGACCGGCGGTGACAGCGTTGGGACCGTAATGGAGAAGATCACCTGTTCGGACTGGGATGGAGAAGATCACCTGTTCTCACTGGAGAAGTCGCTGCGAAACAGCCGTGACTTCGGACTGGAGAGTGGCGAACGGCCGGAGCGAAGGGAAGACGGAGCGAAGCGAAGATGACGAGCCGAACATAGCAAACTTCTTGAAGACGGAGTGGTATAATTGATTTAAAATGGCTAATTTAGGTGGTATATTAGTAAATAAATTAGTTTAGGTGTTAAATTTGTATTTTAAATAGTTTTAGGTGTTATGTATGTAAAAATCCCTTAATTTTAATATCATATTTAGCTAATGCATTTTTTGTTTTCGAATCAATAGTAGAAATCTTCCAAGAAAAAGTAGCATAGGTTATGGAAAACTGTGTATGCAAATTTATATAAGAATTTATAGCTATAAGTATATTAAGAATTAGTTGAAAACAATGAGCATTATCCAAATGTTCATGAAAACAAAGAACAAACCCCAATCCAAAAATTCGTTACTATGGGTACTAATATTTAAAATATTATTTGACTAATTATATAAAAATAATATTAAAGAATATTATATAATAAAATAAGTATAATATTATATAAAAAATGCACTCTCCCATCACCTCAAAAAATTATTATTATTATTATTGTTTTTAAGAATTTTTTAAATTATTCAAACAGTGTACTTTGCCATAAGAACTCTTGGTGGGGTCCATCCAAATATACTGGAAGGCTGATCTTGTAATAAAAGACAAAGACAGGGGCATTCTTCAGATATCAACTCCTCTATATATTGCTCCTCCTCCAAACGCCTCCAGCTGAATTTTCCTTCGTGAATTCCTTCCTCCGACTCTCCGAGCAAGCAAATAAGCGTCGAGTGCACCAATCTGGAAAAGCCAACGTATCATTAACCATGTCCACGTCAGTCGTCTTCCTCCTCCTTACCCTTGCTATTTCCTTCCTCCTCCGGCCATCTTCGACATCGGCGGCAAAGGCGGAGGAGGATTTGATGCGTCAGCTGTGGAGGTCTGAGCTGGCCCGGCTCGCCGGCTACGGAGAGGAGAGGCTCTCCTCTGTGCTCGTCACTGGCTCTCTTCTATATCAAGATCGTCACTTTTCTTCAGGCTCTAATCACCTCACCACTTCCTATGCCAAAGGTAATTAAGCGCATTAGTTAGTTGATAACTAATTATCAGATAATTAAGACAGGAGCTTATCATTATGAAATGGGAACTAATTACTCTAAAATAATAAGAATATATACAAATTATAAAATGTTCATATACAAATTTGAATGTCTTGGTGTTTGCATGGAATTTTGCTTTGGTGTTTTTGAATAATTTTATGATTTTAATTCTAATCAACGTTTTTAGTAGCTTTTGATCTAATTTTTCAGTTGGTAAATCAATAAATAAATATATATAAGAAAAAATATTTTTGAGAGAATGTTTGCAAGGTGGATGGTCTTTGTCGAGTAATACTTAATAAGCTAAATATATTGGATTGTATATCGTTCTCATGGGAAGTTGAGAGGGAGTGATCATTAGCTTTTTCTTCCAATTGAGGAAAGGTGTAGATGAAGAAAATTCTTCCCTCAACAACTACTAGCCAGGGAGAAGACCAGCTCATTAGCTAAACTATCAAGGCATCAACCCCTTTAATTTTAGTTGTTATTAATTAGTTTTTATATAATCTTGGTAATTAAGCTCTATGTTTTGTTGTCGAAGTTTTTTATTTGTTTTCAAATTGGAGTCGTAATTAGAGGAGCTCTAATTATGGCATTGATTAGGAGCCCTGATTATTGCATTGATTGAAATATTTAATGAGGGGGATGATTAATTGGGAGATCTAATTGACATGATTACATTTTCATTAATTAAGTTTTCGTTATTATTATTATTATTTTTTTCAAATCTATAAATATAGGTTTGAGGATTGGTGTGAGAGTAAGAGAGTCAATTGTAATCTTATTTCTCCACATTAATGTAGTGAAATCATCCCCATCCCGTGAATGTAGCTGGTTCTTCGCCGAACCACGTAAATCACATCATGTTCATTATATTTGTTTGTCTGATTTGTGTTGTTTTTCACTGTTGATTGCAAAATAATGATTTCATATATGTAAAGTTTTACATGATTAGATTTGTCTTAAAACTTTTGAGTTAAGAATTGTTCGTGAATTAGAATCAAAGCTCATTGAGATTTGAGAATATTGACCTAAAAGAGAAAAAAGTAGATCGAAAGAGAAAAAAGTAGATCGAAAGAGAAAAAATTCTATAATAAAGCTCTGAAATTTCTATAAAATATACTTCAAATAAAAAATATTAATGATTACTAAACTTATGTTTTATATTTTCAAAGAAATTAAGCTTCGGCTTTCAAGAGAGAGAGAGAGAGAGAATTTCATTTTCATTAAATAATCCATCAAATAATTTAATTATTCTGATGAAGCAGTGTGTTTCTCTTCTATCTAACATCAACTTTGCATGAGAAAAAAGGTGTGAAGGTGGCTGTTACGTGTAAAAATGATGAAGGCAGAATGAAAAGAAGCGACTTTTCCTATGGAACAACTGATGAATTTGGGGATTTCATCATCAACATCCCTTCCCACTTGCATGCCATTCCCAATTTTGAAGATTCCTGCTTTGTTAAGATCCTCAAAACACAGAGAAACTCTCAATATTATTATCAAATATCAATATCAAATCCCATGCACATAAAATTATCACATGTTGGCAACAACATTCGAGTATATACAACAGGAACAGTGAGGATAAGTCTGAGAGGCTAGCTTGCCTTCTCAGATAGCTTGCTTGGAGAAAGAAGCTAGATATATATATTGCAAGAACTACAATAATTACAAGAGAAAAGAGGGTGAGATGGTTCCTCAATTATGATTTTTTTATAGTGTTTGTATATGATCTGTGGATATTTCATGATTAGTATGTTTGTATGAACCTTATGTAACATGCACGCACCTTGGTGTAATATTTGTCTAAGTAATTTAGTGATCAATGAATCTCCATGTAGCATGCTATAATTAGTGGCTTTGTATCTATAATGTATTTGTATCATGAAAGCTTCTTTCAAATAGTTCAATTAAGCCGACGAGGAGTGCTCTTTTCATTTGTTCAAAGAAATACAATTTTAATTAGCACTATTTTAAAATTGCATATGATTAAAAAAATTTGATGTTACATGTATCATCATCTTGATCTATTGGTTAATAGCTTTGGTTACCAACCAATATATCTTGGATTCGAAGCTTACGTATGTGATGTGTGTGTGATAGTGTGAATTTGTCTTAATTGACCTACATATTGTCCCCCACCCCTGCAAAAAACTATGATGAGTTGAATTTGGTGTCGTTGGGTTCGTATTTTCGAGATGTTTAGTTTGACTGTAAGTTTGCTGAAATCAGAGTTCAGATGATCCTACATTTAATTTTGAAAGTTTCCCACTTGATTTTGCCTCAAAATTTGTGATATAGATATCATGAAAATTGATATAATTTCTTAAGTGTTACGCTCTCTTCATTCGTGCTTTATTTTTTTTGAGGAATCCTATACTCTTTGGTAGAATGCTTCTACATGAAGGACTTTATTGAGTTCTCACTAAGAATTAACATGATACATCTAATCGACTCAATTATAACCCTAATTTTTTAAATAATGCTTTCCTTGAATTAAAATTTTATTGGACCGTCTACTCCGTGAGAAGCCCAATTAATTTACAACTAATGGGGCTTTCTTTGTTCGTTTACTAAAATGGGCCGTGCCTTACAATATAATGGTTCTACTTTAATCAGAGGGCTTCGAGGATGCATTTGCATGATCTCAAATGGAATTAGGCAACCAAAATTTGTAGTGTTTTTAAATAATAACTACAGAGGTTGACACTTTTAGACTTTTAGTAATTAAAAGTTATCAGAATTAATATAATAAAAATTAAGCGAATATTTTTTTTAATTTTTTTTTTCAAATAAATAGTGTGATCTGTCAGTGAGGCCCTCTTTGCCCGTAAAAATAATATTATAATTATAATTTATTATTTAATATATTTAATATAAGGTTAATTCAATGCATGCCAACTGATAAATATTTTTCCCTCTTATTTATTTTCGTTTGGATATGTTTAAAATGTCGATGGTTCTGTATGAAACACGTAGCTTAAAATTTTAAAATAAATAAATAAAATAATTGGTGTATTTATTATTTAAAGCTAAAAGATATAAAAAGCTGGCCATGCTGACTAAAAAATAGTTATAATTATGGCTGTGGACCTTGCGTTATTAATGAGAGAGAGCAAGTGCCAGGTGGCGACTGGCGAGCATAATAAGGAATAAATGTTTTACTGCTTTTTTTCCAAACATTTTAAAATTATTTTGATAGTCAGATGACATCAAGATTAGTGCCAAAGAGATATCATGGAATTTGCTAAATCGTAGTAACTGTTCCAAATAAAGGCTTAATAACTTTATTGAAATTCTCGGTTGATATAATTTGTTTGGGGAGAAATTATTATGTGTGGAGTTCGGATGTATAACATCGTCTAAAGATCAATCAAAATCGTCACGTCAATGATACCGAGTTGTAATACCTAGCGAAGGGGTGACGTGGTTTATTCTGATTGGTCTCCGGATGACGTTCGGTGTCCGCACTAAATATATAATCTGGCTTGGGACAGTTTTTTTGCTACTTTATAAAACTATTTTTTGTACAAAATTTATAATTCAAGAAATTTTACTAGAAAGCCGTTTTCGAAAGCTACAAAAAAGTCGTCCAAGACTTCGTTTAAGGACGACTTTCTTATTATTTCTCAAAGCATTTTCTTAAGTACAAAAAATTAATTGTATGCTAAAAATTTACTTTGAAGCACTAAAAATAACTCTCCCAAATGAAGCCAAAGAGATATAATCATGGTCCATGCATATTGGTTCAGTACTGCTATTTATTTTCCCCTCGTTGTCTCACATGATGCACATGCAATTTGCTAAAGAAACGCAACGTAAGGCTAATTGAGTAATTGGCCAGGCCGAGCATAATGCAATGGTTCAATTTTTGCATTTTGGAGTTCTAGAATTTTCATGAAAAGATGGACTTCTTTGTAAATTATGTCACATCATTATGAGGTCATTCAACTTCTAAATTAATTTTTTAAGCTTAAATAAGTTGGTAATATAGCTCCTTTTAGTATTAAAATTTTTATAGTTGTTAAATTATTTTAAGATGAATATACTATATAATATTATATTTTTGAAATATGAATAAAATATTATAGCTTATTTTAGTTAAATTTAGGGCAAAGTATTCTTACCCAAATTTTAAACTTCACTAAACTCCATAAATATTGTTTAGTGAATTATATCAATTTTGACTAAATCTTATATAAGTAAATCATTAGTATTAAATATATAATTAATTATGATTGTTTAAAATTATAATCCAAATTTGATAAAAAAAAATAAAACTTAGGATCTTATTTAGATTAGATTCTAATTTAATAAAAAGTGTTAAATGAATGAATGTATTTGAACAATATATTCCAGGGTTTTAAAAATTGGACTGGACCGACCGATTCGACCTGTTCAATTGTGAACCGATCTTAATGCCGATCGATCTAATTCATTCAGAAAACCGTTTATGTATCAAACCGAGTTGAACCAGACAGAATCGTTGGTTTAACTGACAAACCAGTCCAGATTCCCTTGAAAGACGTACTTTATATACATATAAGTAATATGAGACTAAATAAGTTAAAGTTATTACTTCTAAATTTACAGTATACACAATATATTTTAAAATATATTTTTTAAAATAAATTTTTTATGATGTAAATAGAATTTATTTTTAATTAATAATGTTAAATAAATTAGATAATTCATTTATTATTGATGTAATATAAGAATTAATTAATTAATTAATTAATTAAAAACAAATGATCTAATCTTAATAAATTTATAAAATGAATTTAATATATAATTTATATGTGTAAATTATTTACACATATAACATAAATTAATAATAATTTATATTAAATTTATAAGTAAGCTAGTTTTTTTGATTAAATTTTAATTAAATTTAAAGACTGAATGTACTTAAATTTAAAATTACATAAGATATTATTAATATATGAATTCAATTTATTTTTAATATACATATTATTACATGATTATTCTATTATTCATAATTTTTTATTTATTAAATCATCTGGTTGAACCTCGATTTGATACCGATTAAATCATTGAATCATGAACATCTCTATTTTATATATTATATTTGATGTGGATTTCACAATCTTGATATATTCAATTCATTTAGTGCTAAAATTGATGGGGACTTTGTTGTGTATAAACACGTTTGAGAATTAATATAATGGGCCACCCCATATGATATACACTATACATTCAGAGAACCTATTAAATCAAATTTGTTAATAATATTATGAAATTTCATTTTGTTAGTATTTTATGCCAAAATTAATATTTTATAAGTGCAAATTATATCTTCAAAAGGCAAGGGTGTCCATTGATGTTGGTGATGATGTAGTTGATGAGGATCATCCTTTGTGATTATAGTGTGCGTCATCCTCATTGACAATGACATGTACTTAAGTTATTGGTTGTAGCATGCATCAAAATTAATCAGCGTTTCCTCATAATCGAGCGATGGTGGTCAGAATGTTATAGCGAGGAGATGACAGTTGAATGATCCTAGCCAGATTGAAGGACTATATAGTTGGGAGACTTTTTAGATGAGCATAGTCGGGTAACGACAGTCTACAGTTGACAATTAATGATGGTCGTAGGACTATAGTCGAGTGATGAGGTTTATATCACTGTCTTCAGACCTAGTGATTGGAGGACCATCATTGGGAAATAATGATCAAAGGATGTACTATAGTCGGATGACAATGGTTGAATGACTGTAGATGGACGATGACAACAATGGTGGTGAGGAGATTATAGTCCAACGATAATGGTGAAGAAACGACATACTCATGTAGTGCATGGCGGTCGGATGGTTGTAACCGAGCGGCAGATGATGTTCGGAAGATTTTAGTGCGACAACATTAGCCGTATGACCTAAATTTGATTATAAAAATTTAATTTCAACATGCATCGAGATACCCATTCCATTTTATAGTTAATTTTTTATTATTATATAACTCTTTATAAAGGTGTTTGTGAAGTTGATAAGTTATTATAGAGAAAGTAAATTTTTTTAGTTGTAAAAAATAACTTTATAACACAAAAATTTATTAAAAATAGTGAAAAAATAATGACCAAATAAAATTGTGATTAAAATCTGTAAAAAAAAAAACAGTTAGAAAGTTATCCCAAATAAAATCCAAATCTATTTTTGATGAATTATTACGTTAGATCTTACCCAATTTATCAGTGCTTTAAACATAATTTCGCACAGATAAAATGCAGCATCTATCAACTCTGAACTTTAATTATGTCTTAATTATATAGTTGGGAGTTATTTGTTCAACCAATTAATCAATCGAAGAAAATAATACAAAGACTTTCAGGAGACGAACCGTCCAATTAAGAGGTGGAAGACATCTCAGCCGTCCACGGTGATAGTGAGCCTATGCACCTTTTCTCATCGGAGCAGTTCTAAGTTTTTCAGCCTTTGCATGTGGCCACATGGTTTTCCTTTCATTAAAGCTATCAATTATTTATTCTCCATTGTTTTATGAAAAATAAATACCTTATTGGCATAAATATATTATTTGTTGCTTTTCTTTTATTTTTTACTTTATTTTATTTTTGATTCAAAATTTGCTATTTAATGTAAAAAAAATTGTCTTTGTACTTATTTGTTGTAAAAAAATTGCTTTTGCTAAGATTAAAAAAAAGAAAAAAGAAGAAGCTAAATTAATTTTATGTGACTTTCTTCATATATACATTTAGATCACATGAATTGCATGCATTGTATTTCAATGATTACTATAAAAGAATATGATAAATTTCAAATAATGAAATGTTATGGTGGAAAATATTGTATTTATATTATGAACAAAAAAATT